CTGGGAGCTGGGCGGCCTCATGCTTCTTTTTGGATTCGCGCCACCCTCTCAGCGCTGTGAGGAGAGAGCCCTGCTGCCTGCCGAAACCTCTCCCCCGGAGCCCATCAAGCGGATATGTGAAGTAGGTGAGGGCCATTTGCTGGCCACTTCCAGGCGATGGTGCATTTCTTCATTCCTCACAAAGGGTGAACCTCCCCAGCATGCACCCAGGGGGTGGGGCCGATGTGGCAGGGGCTGGTTCCTCGCTGTTTCCAGACGGCCTTGTGGAGCTAAGACTGAATGCGTTTCAGCATAGATGGCCACCACAAAATTGTACATTGGCTCCCGGCCGGCCTGGGCAGGGCCAAGGCAGCGAGGGCCGTTCCCTCACTGTTTCCAGGATGGCTTTGCCACATGAAACCACTTCACAGGCCGCATCCGGCCCGCGGGCCTTGTGTTTGACATGTCTGATCTAGATTAATGAAATTAATGAATTTCATGGAATGGGCATGGTCACATTATTCGAATCTGTTTGAAGTGATATTTCTACAAAAAAAATATGGTAATTGGTAGTTGCTGGCAGAAAAGGGCAATGAATCTTAAACAAATTGTTATATGTATATTAATGAAATATTGCAGTAAAAGCTGAAAAGAATATATTTAAACTTATGGTTAACAAGGTCATAAAATTAAACCTATAAAGTTATTTGTAAATCTTCCTTTTCCCCATTTTTCTTTCTAGTTCTACTAAGGATTTCATGGACATTAAACTACAGCTGTATTGTTTGCAGAAGTTAAAGTTATGTTAAACACAGCCTCTCTGCAAGTATTTCAGATTTTAAGACAGAAAGATTTTCCAGCAGAGGGCAATCACGATCTTTTTAGACTGCAGCCCATTTACAGAGATCCCTCTGGCAAAGTAATTGTGCCCTTTTTAATCTTTTTAGGCTTGAATACAGTAGTGCTTCCACATCTGTTGCCATCTGGTGGTCACTTGGATCTTCGTAGACTTTGCTTGAATCACCGGGATGGCACATTGTGGTTTAGCTCAGGGGTCCCCAACCCCCGGTCCGTGAACTAGTACTGGGCCGCGGCATGCCAGCAACCAGTCCGCACAAACAAGCAAAGCCCCATCCGTGGAATACAGGCAGCACACAAAACCACGCACCCTCTGGTCCACAGAAAAACCTCTCTCCATGGAACTGGTCCCTGGTGCCCAAAAGATTGGGGACCATTGGTTTAGCTAGTCATGTGAGCATTGCAGTTTGCCAACATTGGGTTATGATGACATGTTTTGTGCTTCAGAGCCACATTTCGTATAATAGTGATTTTGGCTTACAAGGGTTTCAGGAGGAATGATTATTGAGCTTGTTATGTTATTGAAGTTTCAGATAGGAAATGATTGATTGATACACCACCTGATCCCCAAAAACGTCTAATGTTAACCAAATAAAAATATACAGTATAAAATAATACAGTGATAAAAATCATAGAATTATAGGGCTGAAAGGGACCTTGGAGGTTTTCTAGTCCATCACCCTGCTCAGGGCAGGAATTCTTATTCCATCCTAGAGAAACGGTTGTCCAATCTTTTCTTGAAAGCCCTCTGGTGAAGGACCATCCACAACTTAGGGAGGCAAGCAATTCCACTGATTGATTGTTCTTAATGTCAGGAAATTCCTCCTTATTTCCAGGTTGAATCTCCCTCTGATAAGCTTACCCCCATTGCTTCTTGCCCTGCCCTCAGATGCTATGGAGAATAAACCAACATCCTCTTCCCTGTGACAGCCCTTCAGGTATTGAAAGACTTCTTTTCATTAGGCTAAACATACCCAGTTCTTTTAGCCATGCATTATATCATTTAGTTACCATCTTTAGCTTATCACCTTTGTTGCTCTTCTCTGCACTCTTTCTAGGGCCTCAGCATCTTTTTTTGGACCTGGAGATCAGAACTGGATGCAGTATTCTAAGTGTGGTCTTACCAGTGCAGTATAAAGCAGTACAGTACTATCACTTCCCATGATCTTGAGGCTGTCCCTCTGTTGATGTAGCCTAGAACTGTGTTGGCATTTTTGGCAGCTGCAGCACACTGCTTGATCATACTTAAGTGGTGATCCAGCAGGACACCTAGATTCTTCTCACAGTTACTACTGTTTGGCCTGTATCTCCTATTCTATACCAATGTGTTGGTTTTTCCTGCCTAAGTGCAGGGCCTTAATTTTCTTACCACTGAACTGCATCTTGTTAGATGTGATAATACAGTAATTAAAACAAGAAAAAGTGATAATACAAAGATGTTGTCAGTCACCCACATAAAGCACTGGCCAATTTTCTCAACTTCATTTGAACTGTACATGGGACTTTTAGAAAGCAAAGTTGATAAAACACGATTTATTGCAGAAAGAAAGGAAGAATCAGGTCAACCCTTTAAATTGTGTACTTTGAGTAATTATCTGAAAATATTTAAAATGTTTTAATATTTATATGGCACGCAATAAGGAATCCACCAGATTCTTTTCTGTCACTACCTTCGGAAAGCAAGACATATGTTGTCATTGACACCTTGTGGTACATTTTATGCAAACAGTTGCTGGCAGAAGTAGACTTTTTTTTTCTCATGACCATAGCAGATAAAATAACTCCTTCACCCTGCTGCAGTGAGCCTCTTAGTGGGCCTCTTCTGAATTTTGTGTCTATTAAATGTGCATAAGGACAGTTTAGTGTAACATGATTGTTTGATTGTGGCCTTGTGTACTGTATGAGCCCATGCAGTGTAGTTTGAAAACCATGATTTATGGCTTAGCATCTGGTGTAAACACCTTGTGTCAGCTGTACCTTATATAGTATAGCATGGATAAGCAAACTATGCCTTAACTTAGTGTGTGAACTCAGCTATATGATTTATTTATTTATATTTCCTGTTTCTAGACCTCCCATCGCCTCTATAGAACTGCTAGCTGCAAAAGAAGATAGGCATTTTAATCTATTAATTATTGTACAGAGGGAAATGGAAAAAGTCTAGTTTTATAAGGCTCTTCACATGTCTGTTCAAGAGGAAGGAGCTTCTTTCTCCATGCATTCGGCCCCTAACTTAATGTTAAGCCTTAGCTGACCTTTAACCAAACTGGCCAGTTACTTAATGGAATTGTCACAAATTATATCTTGCATACTTTAATGCATTTTACTTGTTTAAATTCCCCTCCCACACAATTTTCATTGCTTTTCTGTGAAAAGCTTTAGTCTAGGACATGATCAGATATGATTAATGTTAAGGACATTTTCCCCTGCAAAGCTATTAAGAATTATTTTCTGAGTGCAGTTCAGCAGTTGACCTTTCAAAACACTTGCATTATTTCACTGTTTTTTTCCTTATTGGCAAGGGGGGGAGGTTTGTGGCTGCCAGATCTCTTTTTCTGGACTTTCTCCCCACGCACCTGTTCCTCCCAAAGTCTTCCTCCTTTCAGTCTCTCCCTTTCTATTCAACCTTTCTCTCAAAAACAATGACTAGAGCTGCACTTGCAAGGGGAAGTGGGGGAGAGAGAATCTATGAGTCATTTGCACCTGGACGGAAGTTTTAGTGCTAAAAGCTGCAACCAGGGCCACAAAAGGCTGGCTGATGTGTTGACTCAGTACAGATGCCAAGCAACTATAGAGAGCCCCAGGAACTGAGCCAACCCAAGGTTATTTATACATTGCACTTTGTTTTCCTCTTGAGCTTATTCTGTTCTTTCAAGGATAGTTTTATATTCTCATTTTACTAGGTACCACCGTTCTGGTTTAAACCAACTTGCAGTTTATGGACAACCCTGAATATTCTTTTGAGGTCATTGATTTCCTATGTCAGTTTTCTAAGATCTGTGAGCCACCAAATCTAGCCACCCATCAGTTTGGACTAATGGGTTATGTGAATGTGCACATGCAATCAGTTAATAGTTCAGTGTGTCATGCAGACTCAGAAAAGTGGATTCATTGAGCAGATTATGGTAAGGTGAGGTTCACTGTGTAAATCCAAGGCTACCAAAACATCTAGATGACCACTAGATGGCAGCAAAGAATTGGAACTGTCTGTATATCTTTGTTGCCATCTAGCAGTTGTCTGGATTTTTGCAGCCTTGGGTTTCTACTCCTAATAAACCATAGAAGAGGAGGGAAGGAACTAGGAATAAAGCAAAGATTTGGGGAGATAGGACTTTTGAAGGATGTGAATGGATGTCACACAGAAAAAGAAGACTCGTTCCCTTTCAGTGCAAATAACATTTAACGTACCAGATTGTTATTGGGGAAAAATATCCTTACACTAATTAATTACATTAATGCCCTTACAAATTGCCACCGGTAGTGAGAGGAGTCCCTTCCCTAGTAGCACTATGTACACTTCAAAAATTATTTGGAGTAAATGCTTCAGAACTCAAGCACAGCATCACTCTACTATTCATTAGAGCAGCCCGATTCCTCCTTTCCCCCTTCCATGTGGATCTGAAAACAATTGCTTTAAAATTATATATTGTATTAACTTGAACCAATTGATTCTGTAAAATAGTCAAGGTTGGTACCCTCCTCTCCTTGGCTCTACCCTTTAAATTGTTTTGTGATTTATCTTTGGAGGAGTAAATCTGCAGCGCCTGACATAGACTTCAGTGTTAAAACAACTTTAAATTTGCCTACAAAATTTTGCTCTTCAGCCTTGGTTCCCAGTCCATAAACTAACATTGTTAGAAGTCACAAAACTGGCTTGAGAACAAATAAGACAGTTTTATATGCTGTTTACAGAGTTGTATACATTTTGTTACAGGACTGTACTCTGCACTTTTCTTTCTCCCCATCCCCATTTCCGATGCTCTGTCCATGGATCAATATGTTATTGTGTTTAAAACTCAAGTATTCCTCACTTGATGCCATATACATCAAATCAAGCAAATATGCACAAATCAGGTTGCTTTTGATCTGGCTATAAATGGCCCAACTGTTACTTCTCAATTATCACTTGATTTAGCAGAGATTTGACTTGGAGACATTTTTCAGTCAGTCATCATGTTTTAATGGATTAATCCAACCAATTGACTAAGAGCTACAGGCAGGACTCTGTCCACAAAGTCAGCAATTTCACAGAGTGAGGTTGTCAACAAATAAAAACAGATAAATTAAGTATCAGGAATATTGAAACATTCCATAATCAGTCTGTCCTGTGGGACTGCCAAATCCTTATCGACTACAATGGCTATTGTTATTGTTCAGGGGCATTTACACAAGGGGATTAAAAGTAGTCGAGATGGCAGCCACAACCACAACATTTGAAGCCTCACCTCTTTTGCACATATAAAAATGGGGTGGGGAACTGGTCATGCAGCCCCCACCTTGATGTTTTCTTAAACTTCTTCCCCCACAGAGACTCCTAAGGCTGTTCATTCTCTGTGCTGGCTGGGGCTAATGGGAATGGGAATTCAACAATATGCCCCAAACTGCAAATGTTCTCATTCAGATGAATACTATATAGTTCCATCTCTCACAGTGGTTTTGCTACTAAATCTGCTACTAATTTACTCTTAAATGTTTCAGCATGTAGGATGTTGAAAGTTTGACATGTCACTGAACTTGTAACGTTTTCAGGCAAGGTTTATTTTTACATCACAGGTAGTCCTTGACTTATGACTGTTCGCTTAAGTGACTGTTCAAAGTTGCAATGGAACCTCCCCCCAAAAGTACTAACCACCCAATTTTGAACTTACAATAGCTGCCCCACCCAAGTCAAAATCACATTTTGTCTCCTTAGCAACTGGCTCACCTTTGTGGCTGTTTGCTCATCCTGTGGTTACATGACTGCAATTTTTGATGTTTTTGCTGGTTTCTGGCATTTACTTTCGGTTTTTAGCAAACACCATCCATTGGATATAATGGATTTGTTTAATGACCGCAGCATTCACTTAACAACCACTGGGTTCATGTAAAGCCTGCACAAAAATGTTGTAAAATTTGGTCTTGTCACATGGTGTCCTGCTTAATGACTGCAAGGACTTGTGACCATAATTCTGGGCTCAATTATGGTTGAAGACTATCTGTATCTTCAGTCCTACATCAGAGTGGAGGAAACTCCTACGAACTGTCTCCATTGACAGTGGAGTCATAAGTTCTGATTTGTCCTGCTGCCTGAATTCCCTTCAACTGAAGGGGTGAAGTGTGGCTTGATCCACATAACTTGCTAAGAAAGTGGCATGGTTCCCATGACATAGTTAACCATAAATTATTCACTTTAGCCTAATCTAGCATATTGTTATGATCTCCAGCATGTTTTATGAAGAGCATTATACTTTCCCAAACTACTAACTTGTCTACTAAACATATCCATGATTCTGAGTTGACCCTAATCATTAAAAAAAAAAAAAAGATAGTGAAACTATTTAGCATTTAATATTCAAAGCACTTTATGTACATATTACCTTCTCGGATTTCCCCCCCCAAACTTCCCACTGAGGTGGGGCACCTCTAAAGCCTATATTGGATGAAAGCAATTACATTAAAAAACATAATACAAAAAGGAGAGATGCTGTACTAATTTCTTAAAACTATAGAATTCGATACTGCAACCGATATATTTTTCAGTATTATTGTTCCCATAGTAAGGAAGTAGGAAGGTTTTGGAAAAGAGATGTAGTGATGCTGCAGCTAACTCTCTGGTTCATATTGGTGGTGAGATTTTACCAGGAACTTTCTGAAACTCATCTCATGCATCCTTCACAGGTGGCTATTACACATCAGTGATAGGGAACCTCTTGGCCTCCAGCTTTGCCAAAATGAAATTTCCAGCATCTCTCCTCATTAGCTACAAAACAGTGATTCAGCAATATTTTAAGGGACAGATGCTCCTGTATAAAGGTATCTCTAACCCATGCTGGAATGTGAAAAACATGAAGGGTCATTTTGCCATGCATGGCAGACTTGTGAAAAAGCAAAAACAAAAAAAGGATAAAAATACATATAATGATATAAAGAATACAGGAAGAGAATTGTATAAGATAATTTTAAAGAGGAAAGAGAGACAATAAGTTTGTAATTGCTCTAAGGGAGATTGAAAGAGATTGCTTCTTTATATAGTTTTTCTTTTTTTCTATCTGTACTATCTTTCACACTTTTATCTTTTCTTTGTTGTTGATCTCTCATTGTATTATTCTTATATTTATCTTTTAATAATGTGAAAAGTGCTAATAAAAATTATATATCTATTAAACGAAGAGGACAAGTTCTCTATAATATATCAAAAGGAAAGCAAAGTTTAAGTGCCAAAATGTCCTCCAATTTCCACAAAGCTTCCTTCTCCCAGGGAAAGAGTCTTCTGTTGTTCTGCCTCATTCTATCTGCCTCAAGCCAGGGATATTTTTTTTGAGACATTTTTAGTGTAAATATTTTAGCACTGATGATGTTACTTAGTTTGGTATTGAAACGTCTACCGGAAAACCACAAAGCTCAGAGAACACCAAGGACCCCACAGTTCAATCTTAAGCTACAAATATTCTATCAGTGTAATTAACATTATAAAGAGGCAGTCAGTAATTCTTTTTGTCCCCTATTATCTGTATCTGCATCATTCCACAGCCTCTCTGTCTACTCCTTCTTCTTAATCCGAAAAAGCTCCATGGAAGGAGTTTTCTTTGGCAGTCTTTATCTGATTTGACTTTGACCAATATAACTGAAGACTGAGATGCCAGAGAGTGGGAGACATGACTGTGGAATGAAAGCTAGAGCACACACAAGTACCTTTTAGGCACTTTACAATTAAGGTAAATATAAAGATGCAGCACCACAGCCATGAGAAATCTACAAAACGTTCTTCTGCCTTGGAAAAAGTTCTGAAAGCCATTTCTCTCCCATCGAACAAAATAAGAATGATTGGGGGAAATGGAGAAGATGTTTTCATCATAGAAATAACTGGACTACTTTAAAACTTATGGGAGAGCAATTAAAGTTTACTTTGCTACTGAGGTATTCAACATGGAGGTTCAAAGGAAGTTTTTCTAAGGACTGTCCTGACTGTGTAGCTTTTCCTTAAGACCCATTGTCCTCCTCCTGAGCTCTTCCTGGGCTTTGTGGTACCTGCTGTTCATTTGAAACATAAGGATGTAAAAATCAGATGAATGAAGAAGTTAATAAAAATCTGATTCATTCCAAGAACCTTTCAAATTATTTTAGTCCCACCGTCTTTCAGCCATTCCTTTTCCATCTTTCCTATCCAGGTAGCCTCATTGTTCCTTTCCCAGTAACACACATCATCCCAGCTGATTGTTTGAAAGGAATGTAATTTTCTATTATGTTACAATTAAAGACATGCTGCATTCATGTTTGTGTGTATATGTGTTAGGATTAGGGAGCCTATCAGTCTGCACAGAGGTCTCGCTTTAAATCTTTGCAGCCTTGTAGCAAACTGAGTCCTCGTGTGAGGGAAGCAGAAGCATTACTGTATGCATAAAAAGATGGAGAGTTAAATTCTATTTTAATTCTGTAGCATCCGTTCCTCACCCTATTCTCCCTCTTCTGTTGCCTTATCCATGCATTGACCATCCTGCAGGAGGAAGGATTATCTTGAATCATCCCCAAGTACAACAATTGGATCTGGAGTTTCTGTGGGTTTTACACAGTGGGAATCGGAGCGATCCAGTCATGTTCATAATCTCATGCTGGCAGGGTCCGTATAGCAGGGTGGATGCAAAACCTTGCTAGCTCTTGCTCTCCGGTTCTTCAGACCCATCTTGCTCCAATTCTTCCTCATCTGACTGCACCACAGGAGTCTCAGCTCCTTCTTCACTGGTGTCCAGGCTATTCAGGTCTGTAGAGGCAGATGATGTGGACGAAATTCGTGATTTGATTTCAACTGTATTGGGCACTTGCAGAGAAATATCTTCCTGGAAGGGGTTAGAATCTGGCAAAGGAGAAGGACAAAAAGGAAAGAAGGAAGAAATTAGATGATTGGCATCTGCTTTACCCTGTCCCATAATATCCTGGTGTCAGCCCTCGGGGATAAGTGAATCTACTATATCCGATTTAGTTTTTATTTTACCGCTATTGTACATTGCAGTTGATGGGCCAAAGTTGAAAACTCTGCATTAAAATTTTATGAACATCGGTGCACATTTATGTCAACATACATATTTCTTTTGTCATATTAGCCTACTGCATACATTATCAGCTAATAATATCCTAGTGTATTTTATTCTTTCTTTTCATGAACATCTACATCTTTGTGCAGACCTTTCCCTTTGCAACTTACAGACAAATTTGTTGATAAACTGTGTGGTAAAATTTAGAAAAGTGCATGTTTTGAATAACAAACATTTTTTTAGTACTTTAAAATGCAAGATTATGTAAGTCTGCACTGAAACCTAAATTATACTTTTCCATTTTTGAAAATGCATGCATTCATGAAAATACAAAATTAACTTAAGTTCTTGTTCAAATGCTATCCCATCCTAAAATATTCTACCACTTCATTTTGTAGAAAGTACAGTAGGAAATTCTAAGTATTGCTGCAGTTTTTCAAAGATATGCACTGCTTATTGAAATCAGTTAACAGACATATGCACACCAGGCTATTAATAGAAAATGCAAAATGCACTGGATTTTATCATTGCATCACCAGAGTAGTATAAAGTAATACGTACTACTACTGTTCTGGACTTAAATAGGTTGCATGTAAATCACTTCCAAAGATAAAGTACAGACAAGAAAAATGCCATTTTAGGTCAGAGGAGTTTAAATTTCATTTGTGCTAGGAAGCATTTATTTAATGATTAATCCTTCTCCAAACAAACAAACAAAACGTTACAGATTGCCGAGAATTCAATGCCCCCTGATAATTACACATGGTAGAGAATATTATGACTGTTCATTGCACTAGATGCATATGTGTAGATAAGCTATCCAGTCCACAAACAGAGCTGATCTTTCCTTGCAGTCATCCTGCAGATAATGAGTAGTGGATGAGGATCCCTTTCTTCTAGTTCTGCATAATCCTTCACAGTGCTTTTTTTTTGTAAGAAAAAAGGTGCCAGAACTCACATCTTGTTAATCTTTCATTTAAAAAAATTATATATTCAGTTCTTAGCAGGAGCAGTGGTTGAGAAGTAATTAGTAATTTTTTTATTTTTAAATTTGGGGTCACACTTTTATGCTAAAAATTAAAAAAAGATTTTTAATTCACCAATAATTTTTTAAAATAAATTATTTACCTTTCGCACATAGTCAATCACTGTACATACACCCACACATGTCAGTTGTGTAATGAAACATAACAGTTGCCACCCGCAGTAAACACTCAGCATGCAACCACACAACCACTCACAAGCTGAGCAGTGCCATCACAACTAGCGTGGACGAAGTACGCATGCATCAGACTTGACACACAAGCAGCCCACTTGCACCGTTTTAATGATTTTGCTGCCAACCTGCTATGCTCGACAAGGCGATTCAAGTCCAAACATCAAATTTTCAAAAGTTACTTTTAAAACTTGGAAAATCTGTCAAAAAAAAAAGATGCTGGAACGCCGTTCTGGTGCGCTCTATGACAAAAAAAGCACTGATCCTTCACCACGCCAAAAGAATCCATCATAAGCAGCCTTTTCAGGCATTTTGGCATGCCTGACCTAATTTTAAAATGTTATAAACATTTACATCTTTGGATATATTCTGCTCAGTTTATAATACAAATCACAAAATGTAATCTGAGAGGAACAACTATGAGACGCTTCACTTAATGCTTAACATTAAACATTCTGTGGTCATCCAAAAGATGGTGACCATGTATTCCAGTTGATGAAAGGTGTGACGATCTCTTGCTTAGCAGATTGAGTGTATGGTTTGAATCACAATGACACATTATTATCTTATTATGTTTATTATGGCATGGCTTCAGTCAGCCTAAGTTCACGAAATGCCATAGTATAGATGCCAACTAGACAAAGAGATGTGACTTTAATAAAAATACTCTTGTAAGACTGCAACATCAATACTTCACCTCCTATTTGTTATATATAAAAAAAGCTCTGTAGATCTTGCCTTAAAACAGGGGTGTCAAACTGTCGGCCCGCGGGCCAGTTGCATCATACGGAGGCCACGCCCACCCCAGCTCTGGCAATGCAAAAAAAGTTGTGATACATTGCGACACGTCATGTGACGCAGCGAGTTTGACACCCATGCCTTAAAATGAAAGAAAAAGAAAGTATGAGTCAGCTCCTTGCAGTCAAGAATCATACACTGTAGGAATTCCAGGAAGGCCACTTTACTGTTGCAGGAGTATTTACACAATCTTGAAAGCCTGTCCAAAATCCTCACTGTCCCGTTTGAAGGTCAATAAAGTCAAGGTATGGCGGGCTGACTCTCATACTTCCCACTTTCCCAGGACTAAGCAATCATTTTCCCTCTCCCACCTCCTTCTCAAGGGCAGACCTAAATTCCTTACAACATGTTTCTGATTCCTTTGCTCCTGGAAGAAAATTTGCAAATATGTGGGAAGTACCTGAGTAAACATTCCAGAGTCCCAATTGTTTCTGCAGTTGCTTGCTCTACTACACCTGCGATTATTATGTGTCATTCATCTCCTTTTTTACATTGTCTACATTCTGCCTCTCTCTACACAAAAAATTACATTTCAAAATTATTTATTCAATAGAAGATATGGAATTTTATTAATCTCTCCTCATATTTCCTGGTGATGTAATCATAATAGGAAACATGGTCCCAAGTTGCCATAAGTTGCCATATGAACCACCCAGTACGAGTCCCCCTCGATGATAGTTAGGATCTAACTGGCTAATGAAACATTATGAAACATGCTAATGAATATGCGACCCACTGACCTATTGGATTCAGGGACAGATGAAGCCAGTGACCCTGTAATCTTCCACCCAAGGTGGGCTACTGTTTGGGCTAGATCCTATCCATGAATGAATCTTTGAGCTGCTCTTTATGCAATGCATATGCTTTACATTCCTTCTCCATCTTTGGCCACAGGAGCTTTGGTGCCTGGTTTGTAAATCTCACAGCCTGGAGATTAAATCAGTGAGTCTACTTAACTGGAATGTGAAAGGCTATGCTGTGAAATGTCTGAATCACTCTCAGGGTGAATCATTGTGGTATAACTGAGCTCTGTTCCCTCTAGCACACAATCTAAAGTCTCCTGGCATTAGAAGGAAGATGTGTCAGCATTCAATCCCAGCATTTAAAAAAGCTTTTGATCTACACAAATGCAAAAGTACTTTGGAGATGTTAGCGGTGCTGACTATCCAGGGACTTAATAAAGTGACTAGATGCTTTGTTGGATTTTTATAATTTTATTTTTTACATAATTGTAAAGTTTTCATTCACTGTACATGCATTCAATAAAAGCATTTGATAGAAGCACAATGACACCACATGCATCACAACACATTATGCTATGATGCAAATACCATTTGGTACATAATTGGCATGATAATATCCTGTGAAGCATGATGTCTCTATCCCCACCTATGATGTGAGGCAATTCCAGATGTTGCTTAACTACAGCTTCAAATGTACCTCACCACTGGCTGGAGCTGCTGGAAGTTGTAGTTCCAACATCTGGAACATCACAGAAATGGTCCTGAAAGTGATAGTGGCAAAGGGTATTTAACTTTAGAAGTATTTAATCTAGGTCAGGAAATATAGTCAGCCTGCTTTATTCCAACTCCCTCGTCATATTGCTATTATTCTATTTCATGGAATGAGATTAATCAAGGCCACAGAGTGATGGAATGAAAGCTGTGATAGAAAATGATCACTCACTGTAAAAATAAGCTTGGCTCAAGATATCCAGAATTCTTAAGTCAAAAACTGCTATTTGTATCAATGCAGGCACTTTTGTTAGAATCTAGCATTTTGAGATTCATCGAGGGGAACTTGGCTGTGTCCTTGGAACAGTTATTTCTTTTCATAAATTTCAGACATTATTATTTAGACAAACATAGAAAGAGGGGAGTAAGGAAAGCACTGTTGCTTAGCAACAAGTATGTGGTTGTTAAGCAACAGCTTCCCTGCACTTTCCATTCCCCACTCCTCAGAATAAACATCACTGTTAAGTTTACAAAAAAAAAAAAATGCACGAGAGAAAATGTGATGAGTAGAAAGCCAGAGGGAAGAAGACGACAAGGTGCTATAAAAACAGTTCACAATGTGCAGACAGCAGACAATGCAGACACGCAAGACACTACTATCACCAGACGGGTTGTTTTTCTGTTTAAATTTTGGACACCAGATCCAAATGGCTCCAAACCCCCATCCAAACAGAGCAGTTTCTAACTTGAAACAATTCTAGTAAAATCAGAACAACGAGCTTTGAGCTTTAAAACAGCAGGTTTCTTTTCCAGGCTGAGTTTGAAACAGTTCTGCTCTGAAACATTTTGCACACCTCTCTGTGCAGCCTGCTATCACAGGACACAAAACAGGCTCGGACCTGCACTGGAGACAGTCTGCCCTCTTGGCACAAAGTTGGCAAATACACATTTGGGGACACCCTGGCTGCCTTTGCTACCCCCCTTTATTTTATTCCAAAAGACCAGCAAAACAGCAATGCAATATACCTGGTACAGGGAACTCCTCAGGTTCATTTCTTGGTGTGTGTGTGTGTGTGTGTGTGTTGTCCTGGAAAGCCAAGAAGGAGTTTTTCCAAGTTGATACCATATATGGCTAGAAGCTTTACTGCTCTCTTGTTAACACTAAATAATTGTGTGTTTATTTAATTTATTTATTTACAAGGCTTATAAATTATTCCAACCGAAGCCAATTCTGAAAGGGTTTCAAGTGCTTACTGAGCATGGCTGCTAATACTGGGATGTCATGGGGCTATTAGGGCAAAAATGTTTAATCTAATTTAGGGGTTCAGTTTATGGAGTGAAATAAGTATATTATATTAAATCTAAAGGAGGCTTGCTCCTTTTTTGCCCTTTATTTTGTTCCAAACCCCTAACAATGGTGGCAATGATTTTGCCACTCTCAGCAGTGTGTGCTGGAGATGCTCTGGGGATCACAATAGGGCTAGGGCACTTGTCAGAGGTCCATCATGATTTGGCCACTCCTGGCTTAAACCAAGATTCCTATTGCTAAGGTTAGGCGTTGATAAATACATATCCAAATCTTGACAGTGGGAGTAAGAAAGTCAATTGTTTCCTTAGACTTTAATCTATATAAATGTTGTGATGCTTCAAGTTTTACAAAATGCCAGAATTATCCATGGCCCACAGCATATCCGTGATTCTTATTTCATTGTTTATTTCAATTTTGTTCAGTTCAAATTAAAACAGAAAGGGCCAGATATGACAACATAGAAGTTATACATTTATGAAAAGGAGTAAAGAATACATTTGAGTAATAGGAAATACTTGAAAGTTTGGAGCAAATCAAAATGGCCTGGAGATGTATATTTTTTTGTAGGAAAGAAAAAAGAAAAGCTGAGTTTCTGTGTAGTAATAGGAGAACATTAGATGGGGCTGTGAGGTTTCTGGATTAACACAAAGGTATATGATGTCTTCTCGGTTTAAATTTTTTAATATGTATTTGTGTTTTTCAGCTACAGTTGAGAACTTATAAAACAAAAAGCTCAAACCTTGTCCAGTGGCCATTTGGAAATTTGTTTTAGGTTATGACTTCATCTCCCAAATCAATGCTCCCACTAAGAAGCAGTAACAATCTCCCCTGAAGGGAACATGCCTTGACTGACTCTGTTTGGTACCACAATTTTTCAATGTGGTTCCACTGTATACCATCCCACTTATGAATATTTTTCTTCCCTGGTTTCTATCCCACCTGACTTTAATTTTAGCAAATAGAGCAAGAGAATATGACAGAAAAAGAAAACAGTATTATTTTTAAGTTTCTACAGTATTTTTCATAGTTGCAGAAAAGGATACCAATGAAAGTTATGCCCTAGGCTTAGAAGATTGTTTAAGGTGGTATTTCTAATGATCAAGATTCTAAGTGTTTCCCTAGCAGTCCATCTCTTTTCTGTTGTCAGCCCTTTGAGATAGACCAGACTAGCAAATCAAAGTCAAGAATGCTAAAACTATTTTTATTGTAATATTACAGTAACATAATTTTTTTCAATTGAATGCACCTCCTCCCCTCTCCCTTTATCTTCATTAGAAACAGGGAGGGTCAAGACTGAGATGCTTTCTCAAATTACATTTCTGCCTCAGACTGAAATTTCTTTTGTCTATGACCATTGTTTTATTGTTTCTCAAGATTATTCTTATTGCCCAGTGCATCTGCATTCACACTAATTTCTACCTTTAATGCCCATGTTGGACCTGTTTTGATGAACTGCCTATGCCTACATTTAACTTGGTTAAATTTCCAATCTTTTCCCTGAATAAAGAGTTTGCCATAACACATTCCAGATGGAACACATGGGTCAACAACTGATATGGAAAGTTATCAAAGTTGTACATACCTGGCAATAGGGTAGCTACATTGTTGTTGTCCTCTGTCCCACAGCTAAGAAATACATCAACAGTGTCTTGGTCAGATAGATCCAACATGTCCATCTGTTCCAGCATGTCCACATTGACCTCCATGGAAGAAATGCTACCTAGGGGAGCTGGAAAGATGTAGAAATTATCAGAGGTCATACTGCATGAAGAATTCTCATAACACAGGATAAGACCTGCACACAGCTTGATAATTGTTTATATCTACACCTATTATGGAAGAAATGGATATCCATTTCATAGCTTGCTACCCAAATTAATCACAAGTAAATTACAAACTTATTGACTGTTCTCACACAAATAATACATAGATTTCCTATATTCCCATTCATTGTTTACAAACAGGATAGGCAGCCTTTCCTGGAACCTGGGGACTAAACTGAGCTGCACAATGATGTAGAGAAAGCAAGGCTGCATCATGGCATGGACAGGATCAGGTTTTTTTCTATTTTTTCTTCTTACTTTTTTGGGATTTGTATGTGATGTTGTTTTGTTATTTAACAGCACTGAGCCTATATGAGGTCACATGCTGTTATTTTTATAGGTTTTGGGGGGCTCAAGATGGGGAAAAGTTGTCTTCCTGCAGAAAAACAGTGGTACAGTTGCTGTAAAGTGTCACAAAAAGAGATCTGGAGTAGAACACTGGTACTTGATGATACCGGTTGCTTTTGTATGGTCTATGAACTTGACACATGAACTTACGTCTCCTGTGTTCTATCTGCAGGTGTGATACTGGGAAGAAGAAATCAACATCATGCTGGAAAACTTCTTCAAAGAATCTCTGCCTTTCCCAAAGTTTAAGTTGCTGTTGTTGCATCTGCTCAGGGTCCAGCCCCCGCTGTCCATTTTCAATGTCAGCTGAAAATAAAATCAGAATGAAAAGTTGAAATACAGAAATCAGTGTTCTCTCCTGTTCCTTCCAGAACCAAAAATAGTCCTTGACAATGTGCAGGATAGAAACACATTTGTTTAAAGAGAAATGTTAACAGTTTGAAAAAAGTTTCACTTTTGTGGGGTTTTGCACAGGACAGGAAGCTGGACTAAAATTATCTCCAAGATCCTTTCCCATTTTTTACATACTTTCATGCATGATTCATAGTTTTGCTTTATTGTCACTTCCTGCCAAGTAGGAACAAACCCCAGTAAAGCATGTTTAGCAGCGGTGAAAATCAGAAGACTTAACACTTTGTAACTAGTATTAATTGTTTTATCTTTTCAAGCTTCCTTGAGTTATGTGAAGAAAGCAGATCCAACCATTTCTACCCTGCCAAATCAACTGGACTGTTTTCTGCAGAACTATAACATGATGCAAGATGATGCAAACCAAAGCTTATATTCTGACCAGCTAATCCTCTTCTCTTTCCAAATAATTTATAATCCTTTCTAGAATGCATTCATACTGCAGCATAGTTTATAGCACAGAATTGCTTTGAGGAAAAAAAAGTACTGTGTACACAGCCTTTTGCTCTTGGATGCAAAGTGGTGTAGAAATGCAATGAACTTCCTATTTGTGATGATAAGAAAAAACATTAAAAGTTTTCCCTATTCATTGCGAAGCAGATTAGTTCTGCGAAATACACATGAACCACAAAATGACATGGTAAAGTGTTATTAAATTACCTAGGCTACAGGAATCAGCAAAAAAGGTTACCTTCAAAACATCAAATTGATTGATTCCTTTTGATTAACTTAACCAAATAAAAGATTTAAAAAATACTTTGAAAGGATGCTGATAAATACTACCTCTGAAGAGGATGTTTTTGAGGGCAAATTTAATCATTATCCAATATGAAAGCATTTTGATATGGTGGGAACAATCGTCCTTATTTCACATTTAATATCACTTCCCCTTTGAGCTTTGTCTATCTACCTACAGAAAAATAATTTAGTTTCACTTACATCTAATCTATGTAAGTAAATAAATAAATAAATAAATAAATAAATAAATAAATAAATAAATTTATATTTTCTGTTAATAATTATGATTTTTAGATATTTATTTATTGTTTTAATGTGCTGTAAGCTGCCCAGAGGCACTTGTTTTGTGAGATGGTAGCTATATAAATGATAGTAGATAGGATAGGCAGGCAGATAGGCAGACAGACAAATAAGAAATGTTATATAAGAAATAGATAGCACAAGAAAAATATAATTCATTTAAATGTATTATTTCAGGATAGGGGAGCCTGTATAACTCATCAAGAGAAAAGGGACATATTGATAAATTAATAAAAATCATTGCGGGCCACAAATATGATTTATGATAACTATGATTTATGGTCTATGACCTATCACTTTGTTGCTTGTATGTACACTGAGAGCTTATGCACCGGAGACAAATTGCTTCTGTGTCCAATCACACTTGGCCAATAAAGAATTATATGTTATTCTATTTTAAATATTGAATGGAGTTCACAGAAGTAAAGTGAGAACATAAATAGACAGTCTACCAATATTTTGATGCTAAACAAAGGACAAAAACTTTGTTAAATCTTTGCCAAGAACATTAGCCTGTCTTCTGTTGTCAGTTTGGATTTAGCAAAGCTAGTCTTAATTAGTTTTTAAAGTCATTACATTCTTAGTGTAGGGTTCTGCTTGAAGCTAACTGTTCAGGTTCTGCTTAGCTTATGAAGTTGCAAGAAACTATTTGAGCTATGCAAAGAGATTGTCTTATAGTTTTAGTGGATTTACCTAATACATGGTTTATTTCAAAATGCCTCACTCTGACCAATCACTGGACATTTTTATTATTTTCTGAGTGAGATATGAAGGCCATTTCAGAGGGAAAGTAAACCAACCTTTTGGGATATCTTCTTCAAAAAGAAAAATTGCAAATCTTCAGTATGATTAATATGAATGAAATCTACCCATGTTTTCTTTTTTTGGATCCTATAATGCCTTCATAATTTTTCTCCAAGATATACAACAATTAGACCTTGAACATGGATAAAGATAAGCAAGTCTTTGCTTGGTTTTTAAAAAAATCATTTTTAATCAAATCAAAATTATTTCAAAGATGCAATTCACAAAGAGACAAAAAGGAACCAGATTCAATCAAGTAATCATAGCCCATTATGAAAAGGCTGAACATTGAGAAATCTCTTTTTTTTTCTGGGAAAAAACCCACATAATCAAGGAACAAAGTAACAGCTGGAATAAGAATGGCCCCTTGACCTTATCTAGGAGATTTTCCATAGCAAATATCAGATGCCTTTAAAAATTAAAGACATTTTAGCTCCTTTATTCAACAACTGATGATGTAGGGACTGGCTAGACTGACATAAGGAAAATGTGCTTACTAAGCTGGGCAATGCCATAACCAAGGAAACCAAACAAATAGTGAAAATTGTAATTGTCTCAAGTAGAACAGCCTTTTCAATTGCTTCAGGGGAAATTTCAGCTCAACAGCAACAACTGTTAAACTTCCTGTTATGGAAGGGAAAAAGAAAGAAGAGAGATGAGGCAGTGTCTCTATGGTGTGGCCTATGAATTCAGTTCCAGATTGGGGGGGGGACCCCTAAATCCATTGGTACCAATCAAAATGACATAACAAATATGCAATTTAGAGTTCTGCAGAACTTTTCATCAAACAAGTCACCGAATTCAAGAGAACTAGGAAGCTAAACTCCTATCATTTGGCTAGTCCTAAGAAAGGCATCACCCAATGTTTGATTTGAAACTATTTTCCCTATATATCAACCTGGCAACGGCAGCCTTTTATATTTCAAGAAGTACCGGTAATTCAAGAACCTATGCAGCTAGCAAATACAATAAAAGAAAGCATGCTTAACCATTAGATACAGATATGGCTCATGTACTATTTTAATACATGTCCATCAGCCAACAATGTTTTTCTACCTGAGCAATTACTCAAAAGCAAATATACATGCCACATGCCAACCTTCAAATATGCTGAGATTTCAAATTCCAGAATTTCCAGCTAGCACAAGCTTCAATTAAAAGGGTTCCAGTAGCAGATGATGAAAATAATATATCTCCTGTCCTGAAGGCTTGCACTCAGAACAGAATAGTCCAACCAGATGTGTTGAACCATAATTGCCAATCAGCATGTTCAAAAGCTAAGTTATTCATTTACCTTCAATTTGTCCAAGCATCAAGATCTTTTCCAAAGTCCCCTCCTCCCTTTCATTATAGATACAAAATATCTAAGATTCCTTATTACTGCTTTCAGAGAGTAACCTGTTTTCACTTGATCTAATTCTGAATAATTTGTCCTTTCTCCCTTCAAGGGTATTTTTGATTTTCCTGAGCACCACAACTGAAAGATGACATGATTTTCATTCAGCTTTTCTTACTGTGCTTCCCATGTATTGTTAAAAACTGGGTATTTTTGTTGGCATCGCCTTTAATGAAGAGATAAATTTCATTCAGAGTTTTTTAGGCAACCCTATTTATCAAATCTAATCTATTTAATTTATTTTTATTTTTACTGCATAATCATATATCCTTTAAATAAGTTTGAGTGGCTGGTTCAAAAGAAAGAAAAACAAATACCGGTACATATAACATTGTACTGTAATTTCTACAGGGACATATAGATTTCTCTATTTTTGCCTTTTGTGTGCCAGTATCCCAGATGAACACATTAGTATTATACAATAAAAATACTTCCTACCTTCTGATTACCAAAAAGAGTAATCTTTTAGGCACTTGGATGAAGGAATTTGCTATAAACATTGAGTATTTATTTATTATCAAATTCATAGAGCTGCCCATCTCACCCAAGGCGACTTTGGATAGTGCGCAATAAAAAGCGAAGGTATAAAAAGAGTAAATACAAATATAAAAGACCATAATAATAAATATAATGAAACCAAAAATACATAGATGAATGGCCTCAACAATGAGCCATCTAGATAAATCTCTAGTTCCAAAGTAACTCCAGGCCTGGTTAAATAATCAAGTCTTAAGGACCTTTTGGAATATTAAAATGGATGGGGCCAATCTAATTGTGGGAGGAAGAATATTCCATAGGCTGGGCACCACAGCAGAGAAGACACCTCTCCTAGAATCACTAAATGTAAATCTCTAGCTGAAGGTACCCAAGCATGTTTGCCAGATCTGATGGGGAGGGCTGATTGAGCAGTGAAAAATGGTCCCTCAGATAATCTGGCCCCACGTCCTGAAGAAATGTAAAGGTTAAAACTACTATCTTGAATTGGAGCCAGAAACAAACTGGAAACCAGTGCAGCTCACAAAAGTAGGTGGAACATATGCTGTGCTAGCAGTGCACATAACTGCCTGCATTCTATATCAGTTGAAGTTTCCAGATACTTTTCAAGGGCAGCCCCATGTAGAGGTCATTGCAGTAGTCCAATCTGTAGGTGACTAAGATGTGAGTGACTGTAAGCAAGGGTTGCCAATCCAGGAACTGCACAACTGGCACACAAGATGGACCTGTGAATTTTTCCTGACAATTCTATTTGTCTGATTGCTATGTCATTTCATACAAAAAGGACGAAGTTTCCCATTTTTCAGAGAGTATTTTATTTGCAGTTTCAGCATTTCACTCTTCTATAATTAGTACAATGCCTTTTTAGAATTGTGTCACTTAGGTCAATAAGGTGTTGCAAGTCATCATAGCTTCTGCTTCCACAGTGTAATATCGATTGGATTACCTTGGATTATATTGGGATCATTCTGTCATTTGGGTTTGTATTTGAGCACAGTATTAACTTTGACTTTTTGCTGATAAATATGGCTACTCCATTTATTCTATATACATTTTTCCTGCTGTAGAATATTGGATACTCTGATGGACATTCCAGTCCATTTCAGTTTTGCTGCTTCCCCGTCTTTGATATTTATATATATTTATATTCTGAGAATATAAAGTT